TTAATATTCTTTAAGGCAACTAAACCATAACCTTTGGGATTATCTTTTCTACCAGGCAGAAATCTACAAATTAACATGCAACTTCACAGACTCAGGGCTCTAATCAAATAATAAATAATAAACACAGGGAAATTCTACAGGAGAATTAAAGAATCTTTGGGTCAGGTTATTAAACAATGACCCAATATGACAATAAAATCAATATATATATTAGTTTGATTTCCAAGTTTTGGTTTATTTTTCTTAACAATGATAAAGCCCAGAGAGGTTAAAACCTTGGCAAAAATTGCAAAGTTTCAAAACCAGGTGTGTCCATGTCCAAAGACTTTCTGACATTTTTGCTCTACAGCGCTGCGTTGTTTCACCCATATAAATACGGCGCCAGGAATTATTTTATTTTATTTTGAGTAACATTAGCCCTGAGCTAACATCTGCTGCCAGTCCTCCTCTTTTTTGCTGAGGAAGCCTGGCCCTGAGCTAACATCCATGCCCATCTTCCTCTACTTTATGTGTGGGACGCCTAGCACAGCATGGCGTGCCAAGCGGTGCCATGTCCGTACCCGGGATCCAAACTGGTGAACCCCGGGCCACTGAGAAGCGGAATGTGTGCACTTAACCGCTGCGCCACCGGGCTGGCCCCAGGAATGATTTTAAACAGCGTTGTAAATGGTGTCAAAACATCTCTTTACCATCAAATATAAAAAAGAAAACGATCATCCCAGCTTGGTTTTTCATGGATTTGTCTATTTTCCTTTCGGATGGAAAGAGTTTGGTTTAATGATGACATTAAGGCATTTCTTTAGATGTTCTTTCCCAGTGTCAAAATTTCTCTTATATCCTAATTGGGAAGTGACTTTATAATTTGTGGCCTTGATCCTTCACTAAAAATACATTTACTACTTTTCTACTTTCTGACAGATACCACGTGAGCAGGTAGGAGTATCAAGATAAGCACAGTAGTGTCCTTGGCTACAAACTCAGTGTAACGGAGGAGAAGCAGGTGTCATGGTTGGAGAGCCAATGCCTAGAGAGAGAAGGGCAGGTAGTTGGCATCTGGGGTGGGATGGACAAAGGCAGGAGAAGTTTTACTGAGCAGGGTGAATTTCAGCAGTGGGCTGGAGAGGAGCAAAAGCTCTCCAGGCAAGTGAGGGGAGTGAAGACAACTAGTCCTGACCTGCCGTTGAGCTGCTCAGAAACCACGCAGGAGAATGCCTGACCAGGCTCACTGGGGTGGGTTGTAACAGCTCCATATGACATTAGCTTTAGCTCAAGACTTATTTCTAGTATTACAAGAAGCATCTTTTGTGAACAGTTTGCAAGAATGCTTTACCAAACACACTTACATACACAGAGAGAAAGTGAGAGTGAAATAAGCAAAAATTGTATCTTATTTTCTCCTAGGAAAAGAGAACACTGCTAGAAAAAAAACTGTCTTTGGAAAACAAGCTGCTGCAACTCAAATCCAACACTGCATATGCTAAAAGGTTTGCAGATCTACTGCCTAAGTAAAAGCTCTTCCTGATGCCTGTCCTCGCCACGGTCCCCTGGCCAGTGGACAGAAGGCTACCACTCCCCGGGGAAACAGCAAGACTGAACGTGCTGGAGAGAGGGAGATTTTAAAGCATTAACAGCCATGTGCCTCGCCTTCCTCACCCACTGGGGAATGAGGGAGGGACAGAGTTCCCTGGGGGTCCAGGGAGACTGGCGGAAGGGTTAATCCTTCTGAAGAGTGAATGAGCCTGTCCCCTCCCTGTTTACCCTTGGTGCTAAAGAGGATGCTCTTGAGGTCTTCCTTCCCCCTGATGCTTCTGATTTTGTTAATAGGTCTCTGCTACAGCTGGCATTAGATTGGCTGGCCCACGAGTGGAATTGTAGGATAGTTTTGTGGTGTTCCCCAAGCGTGGAGAGAATGAAGGAGACACTGTGAAAAACATCCTTAGTTCTTTGGACTTATTTACAAATGCTGGTAATTCACAAGCAGTCGCAGTCCCTAGTATGCTGGGGCTGGGATGGGTTTGCGGACATCATACAACTGCTGTGCTACTCAGCTGCTGTTAGAAAAATTCTCTGGAGGGCCATATAATACCTCCTATCATGTGAAATTTCCTGAAATATTTCTTTTCCTTTCCTTTCCTTTCTTCTCTTCTTCTTTCTGTTCTTTTAATTCTAAGCCTATCACAGTCATATATTTCGATATAACATTCAAAGTCAAATCTATTTAAAGATCTTAGTTCATCCGTTTAGAGCTGTTGATCCTTAAGATATCAGGTGCTATCCTGAGCGTCAGAATGTACAAATTGTTGTTCTCATTTATTTAATGATATTTGCTCAAACATCCCTCTCTCTAGGTCTTTTGATTATCTTTCTCTCTTTCCTTTTCTTTTCCTATTATCTCTCTTTCTCTTCTCATCTCTCATATGCTTTGCCTTCTGTCTGGCTCATATCCATGCATCGACAGGGAGTATTCAGAAATAGCAACCAAAACTTGGAATTAAGGTAAAAGGAGGCCAGCTTGTCATTCCAGTGTCCCACTGGAGTATTGTTTAAGAAACCCACCCCCGGACTCTTCCATCATCTAGGAGGAATACATTTATTTGACTTGACATTAACTAAGTACCACATATGCCAAAATCCAGAACTGGGTTGGCACTGGCAAGTGCACATTCATATTTGAAACACACTAGGATACCACTAATATTAATTTCCCCATATTCTTCTCCCTGAACAAGATATAGCCCAAGAAGGCGGACTTCCAAGAGAGTTTCGTAGCACTGTGCGTCTCCATGGAGAATGAAGGATGTACTGTGGGAAACATCTATAGTTCTTTGGAATTGCTTACATATACTCATAACTTTAAGTAAATCTTTGGCTTACCTTATTTTTTTTTTTCTTAAAGAGGGCTTTTCTACACAGTAGAACTACTGGCTGGTACAATGTGCCTTCCATTAAGAGTCCAGACAATCTGTTTGATTTTTTTCTTTAAAAAATGATTTTTTATTGATAATAGGGTTTTTATCAGTCTTTGAGCCAAAAATGTAACCATTTTAAAAGCCAAACTTATGTATTCTTTCGGTTCTGTTATATATGAGCAGTTGTTATCAGGAATTCTCAAAAAGCTCTTAGTTTTAAAAATATTTCGAGGGAAATGGATGTTTTGTGTTCCAGAAAAGTATTTGAACATTTAGGCTCATGCCGTTTTTGTAGATTGTAGGTATTACAAATATTTATCTTACTTATTACTTTAAGCTGTGAGTAGGGGTATTCATTTTGCTAAGTGACAAGAAAATGAAATCAGTAAGAGTCAGACGTTTTTGGTTAAAGCAATAGAGATTTGGTTAAGCTACCATAAATAAGAGGATTTCTGTTAGGTTAAGATTGGGTCAATATAGCCATAAAGATGATGCGTCTCATGGGAAGAGAGGAGGGCCACCCTTTAGCACCTAATGTGGTTTTAGGGACCAGATTATTTTGTTGCTCCCATTCAGTCATGAGTTTGGTGAAGTTTCACTGTTCTCTTGTTTTTTATCCTTCCTGTATGATTCATTAAATTTTCCTGCCATTTTTCACCAGCTGGTTCATATTCTCTCTTTTTTCCTTTCCAATTCCAGAGGAAGGGGTCTGATTGGCCTAATACGACTTCCTATATTGGACAGATTGAGCATGTTGGCCAATCCCTACATTGTCATCCAACCAGTGGTCATTTGGCAGGCACTCACTCCCAGTCCTGTGGTGGCCTTCCCTCATGCAAAGAATAGCTGCTTCCCTAAGCAGGGGGCTATGGCTCACTAAATTTCCCTCAGGCATGGATGGCGGTTTTGACAAGTGCCACAACTTTCTTGAATTGCAGTGAGCTTCATTCTGTCATTTTGGTAAAAAGATTCAATATGTTCTAATGTGGCATTTCTGGTGTAAAAAAGCATCTCTGAGGATGATAACTTATAAACAATTATAATTCAAAAGCGACAGTTTTTTCTTGTGTATGGTTATATATATATATCATTATAATGTATTAAGCTGAACCTCACAATTACTTTTAACAAGAGTTAAAAGATTTGGCAGAAGCATCTCATTAAAAATAAAGTTGACTCCGTGTTTCTACTACCATCACTACCAACTGACACATGTATAGAACTTTGCTGTTTAGAGGGTGACCCCGGATACCTTATTTAATTTAATCCTTCCATCGGCCTTTCCGGGAGGGAACTGAGCTTCTGACGGGTTAAGTGATTACACGGCCTCTCAGAAGTTGTGGAGCTCAGAGTTTTGGCTCTAGTACTCTCATAGCAAAGCCTGTGCTCGTTCTGCTATAGAGGAGATTTGATCTCCTTTCTCTCATTCTGGAGACTTCTGGAGACCCTTCACTTCTGGGAAGAGGTAGAAAATGTGTGTCTGTGAGGAGAAGGCAGTTTCTCAATTTGTCCATCTGCCCTGTGACATCACAGACAAATACACAGGCCCGTTTTAGAGTTATCCTTTGGGGAAACACAGAAATTGTACCTCAAAAAATCCTTTAAAAATAGAGAGCATGGTGCCAGAGAACAATTTGTTCAAAGCCATTCTAACACTGAGGAGCACAGGGCACTGCAGCAGGGTCCAACTCAGATTCCTTTGACCACGCCTTTGGCAGATAGAGGCCCTCAGAGAGACTGAGAGTGTGCTTCTTGCCCGGTACATACGCTACGGTTACCCCATGTTCCTAGTTAAAGCAAAGCCATTCGTTTTCACATTTCTGCAAGTTAAGGATAGAATTGAATTCCTTTCTTGAATGCTAAGGAATCTAACAGGAAGAGTACCAGAAATGGTATTCTGGTCACTCGGCCTCAGTGGTGAAATGAGAGAGGATCCTCACTTCCCTTCCTTCAAAGGGAAGGGCCAACATTTTTCTCTCTTTTGGTTGGGGCTTTTTTGTCTGTTCCCACTGGCATTTCTAGACTGCATACTCTCTCAGCTCCAAGCCTGGGATATATGAGGCAGAAAGAAAACCCTGGGAACTCACTCACCATTGTGTTGTTTCCTGGATCCCAAGGTCCCGAGCTAGTCTGATTGTTCTCTCCACTTATCAGAGTCTTCTAGTGTTTGTTTCTATATAATGTCCAGGTTTTTGGTTGTATTGGGGAAGAATGGGGAAAAACTCATCTTCTGCGTCTTCCTGGAAGCAGAAATTTTTGGGTTCTATTTTGATTTCAACATTTACTTTACATTTCTGTTGAGCATTGGGAGGCAGAGCACGCATCCTAGATACAGACGTTTGTGGGAAGGGCTTGTCCTCCCTCCCTGGCCTTCCCCTTTGTTATGTTTTCTTCCTGCTGCTTTGCTTTAGTGCCTGTGCGTGAAGACTGAGCGCTTTAACTGAAAGATAAATAACAGAGATTAAAGGGAGCTCAGATGGCAGCTTATTGAAATGTGTTCTCACATTTAAAGACTGTCAGTGGATGACTAGGTTTCATATTTATTGAACAATCCTAAGAGAGATTTTCTGCAACTTCCTTTAGTCTCTGTTCTAGTGTATTAATGCAAATAAGTCTGAAGGCCCTGTGTTCTCAAGAGTGCTTCTAGAAATACTTTTCTTCCATCTTGAGACCTATTTCGGATTTTTATTTATCTGTAGTGACTCTTGTGGTAATACTCTCATGGAATACATGGAGAAATTTTCCAAGTTTCGTATTTTGAGTACGTCCTTCTAAAGCCACCTTTTTTCCCTTTGGTCCCAGAGTTCTGGGTCATCCTAGGGCACAACCAGACCATTTTGAATACTCACCATTAACATTTTTATGAATTATTTTATTTAAAAATTTTTTATGAATTTGTGAACATTTCATGAATATTCAAAGCCAGCCTGCCTACGCAAAACATCCTGAGTTCTTTCTCATTATTTGCCAGGAAAGTCTTCAGTCTGGCTGCTCTTTCCACCTTTTTCTTTTCTCCCTTTTCCCTTCTCACCGGAGCAATTTTGAATCTTCACACCAGCTGGGGGCCAGATTTCTGTTTGCCTTCTCTGCTGTTCTGATCCTGATGTCCTCAACTCGTCTTTTTTGTGAAGGACCTCTTCAAGTCACTTTCCAATTTTCCTACTAGGATACCTGTCCTATTAATTTTTGGATGTTCTTTATATAATCTGGATACAATGCCTTTGTTAGTCATTTGTGTTACCAATATTCCGAGGCTAAACTATTCACTCTTATTTGATGACCAGAAGTTTTTAGTTTTTGTCTAGTCAACTTATCAGTCTTTCCCTTTTGTGGTTAATAGTGTTTTAAGTTCTATTTTTAAAAAAACTTTATTCCAAATTCACGAAGATGCTCTTCTATATTATCTTCTGAAAGTCTTTTGGGTCCCCAGTTTTATTCACAATCTACAGGGAATTTATTTTTATTATGAGGTGAGGCTAGGATCAATTTTCTTTTTCTTTTTTCTCAAATGAACATCCACTTGCCTCAGTACCATTTGTTGAAAAGACCATTCTCTTTATAATATTCTGCAGAATCATTGTTGATATAAATCAAGTCTATTGGTATATCTCTGTGATATATATGTGTCTGTAAAATAAAAGTGGTGTGGATATAGCATAATTTATCAGTCTTCTATTGAACATTTAGTTTGTTTCCACTTTTTATGCTATGAACAATAATGAACTACATTTTACATATATCTCTGACATATCTTGTGTAATTATACAGGATTTTTATAGTATAAATTATTTAATTCCATAGGATAAATAAATAGTATTGCCTATCGTTATACATTATTTTTACTTGTGCATTTCTATAGTTTTATGGAAAATATTTTTTTGTACAGTAAAACAAACTCTTTTTAAAGCCCTTGCATGCATGCAGAGCCAAAAGAGAAGAAAAATTAAAAGACTGTCTTAAATATTGCAAGCTGCCTGCAAATTATGCGGCTTTGGGAGACTATATTATGAACTAAAAGTTACTGAGACAAAGTTAGTGGTTTAGTGCTGCTCAAAGCACACAATGCCTGGTCTGTGGACCAGGAGAGTCATTGGCAACACCTGGAGGATGTTGGAAATGCAGAATCTTAAGCCCTACCCCAGCCTGCTGGATCAGAATGTGCATTTTAACAAGATCCCTGATGATTTAACAAGATCCTCCAACGCACATTAGGTTTGAGAAGCAATGTTTTAGTACATAATGTGAAACAAAATGAAGACTTTTTTTATTCTTTCTAATGAGAATATGTTCTGTAGTGTCACATGAATTTCCATGACTTTTGCAATATTTGTAGAGCCTGTAAAAATCAGAATTGTGATTGCGCTGGATGTTGGCTACTAATTGTAAAACCTTAATAAGCTAAAATAATATTAATGTGCTACTTGCTAAAAAGCTTATTTTCCAAAAGTACATTTACTTTACCTCCTTAAGACTACAGTATAATCTTGTGATGTAGAAAAGGCAGGAATTATTATATCCGTCATACTGAGGCTTAGAAAGATTGTGTGACTTCAAAGTCACAGTGCACTCAAGTTTCTTGGTCTTGCCACAATGCCTGTTACTTCATAATTCTAATAATATTGGCAAGAAGAGAAATAGTCCAAAGCTATATAATCCATTCCAGTTACCTAAATGGAGCCTTGGGAAAGGATGAATAATCTAAATTCAAACCTCACCCATCTTTTTGCACAATGGTTAATATGGACTCAAAATATTAGCTGGATCTGATTTCCTCTTTTTTTTCCTTGCCCTACTTATAGGCAGTAGAATTACCAAAAATAGGAAGCCAAAAAAAGCAAAACAAATAAACGAAAACCCAGGCAATCCACAATGTATACTAACCCTCTATCATTGGAAATTGGTTTCTGGTATATATGGAAATCTCCATTCCTGGCCCCCTGTTCTAAGTCTGCTATCCCCTTTTAATTATCTATGCATTCTGATGGGTGCTAGGTCTGTGGGTTCTCATAGGCAAGACAGATTAGAGATGTAAGTGCTTTACCTGGCTTAATACAACTTGACTCAACTACCTGCTGGAGGGAGGGGAGTCACAAGTGGCCAGAATGGAGCTTTGTGCTTTGACATGAATTGATTTTCTCATTCAAGTTCCTATCTGAGCTAATCAGAGGCTGCTTCGTGGTGTCTTGTGTGGCATATGGGGTCCTGGGTGTCTTATCCACATGATGCCCAGTAACAGTATAGTGTGTGAGGAGAGCCTGGCAGCACAGCTGTAAAACATAGCTGTTTAATGCATTAGCAAATCTCTCTCTCTTTTTGCCTTTGCGTTTCTAGTTGCCAGGATCTTCAGATGGAGATTTCCCTTCTCCAGGAGCAGATCTCTCATCTGCAGTTTGTGATTCACGCCCAGCATCAAAACCTGCGCAGCGTCATCCAGGAGGTCAGATTAATCAAGTGTATTTCTCTGGTAGATGATGTGTTTACGGTGAGAAGCCCAAATACAAGTGGCTTGCCTGGATTTTACAAGCAGGAGATTCTCCTCCCCACTGACATTTCCTTTTTATTTCCATGCAACATGGCTCTGATTCCTGTGCCCTCTGTTGTCTGTATGCCAACACCTATAATGTTCTCAATGAAGATATTTGGGAAATTGTGTTTAACTGCTCTTTAGATGTTTCAGTGATTTTTTAAAGTGTTCTGAGCCAGGTAACGTACTCTGTTCTTTCAGAGATTTTGTAGATTAGGAGATTCAGCCCTTACCTAAGGAAGAAATGATCTATTTTAATGATCTCATAAGTGGTAAATTTACTTCGGAGGTGTGTTAGGACAGGGGAGTAGCTCGGCCCTTCTCTGTGAGCATCCTGGCTGGTGAGGGAGAAGAGGTCATTGTGGCGGCAGCCAGATGGATGGTGGGTGGTATACTCATACAGTTTGTTACTTCCGGGTATGTATTGATCTGGTTTTTTGGATGTGCTTTAGACCTCAAATCAGACCTTTGTTCACTTTTTTTACTACCTAATAATTGTTTCCAAAAGGAGTCCTTCCAAATAACGCAAATACCTTCCGGACATAAATGTAGCGTTTGTGCTTGCATGGCCAGGACCTCACCAAAGGGCCAGGGGATTAAACTGTGGCGCTTGAGAGCCAGGAAAGATTTAGGGGCATCCCACATTCTCATTTTACAGATGAGAAAACTGAGGCCCACAGTAGTTCAGTGACAGAGCTGGTGATGGTGGTGTTGGCCTTCGAATCCATGTGCTTCCTCCCTCCCTGCACCGTTCTGAACTTCCTTACCCCACCTTCTCAGTTCCACCCTGCCTCTGGACAGATGCGTTTCTTCTGAAGCAAAGTGGGTTCACCTCATTGTGCCACTGGTTGACCAGATCTATACCTCGGAGAGCTTCCCCAGGCCAGGCAATGGCTTTGCATCATATCCACTGGCCTCTGAGCCTACGGGATGAAAACGTTGTGTGGCTGAGACATAGGAGGAAGACCAGTGCTGCTTTTCACAGGATGCACTCCTGCTGAATTTGGTTTAAACAGGTTTTCCAAAGATTAAAATGTTTAACAGCACCATCTGCGTGCTCTCGTCCCCGGGTGCCAATTTGCCCGGCTATTTTCTGAAGCCTGCTGAGTCTGCTGATGCTTTGGGATTTAATATTTTTATTTGATGAACATCGTTTGACCACAGAAACCTGTACAATTTCTGGCTTGAGTAACTATTCCCTGTTGTTTGACAAGATTTCTCCAATTGTGTTTCCTAATTCTTAGATGGAAGGATTAAAAAATAATTTAAAGGAACAAGATGAAAGAATTGAAAATCTGAAAGAAAAAGTTAACATACTTGAAGCCCAGGTAAGGAGGAAATCTGTTGTATATTTCAGTGTGGAGTGTGGGTGTGTGTGTGTGTTCAGTGTATCTGGGAGCCTGTGTATGAATGTGTCCTATGTGTGTGTGCTTGTGTGTGATGTTGTGCCAGTGTGACACTAAGTTTGAGTATCTCTGTAAGTGAATGGGTGTGTGTGTCTGTGTCTGAGTGTCTATGTGTGAGTGTACATGCGTGAGCTTATGTGTATATATATATGAGTGTCTTTTTGTGAGTGTGTGTATGTGTATCTTCTATGCATAAGAAATTAGAATTTTGAGGAGGAGGTGCTTTTAATAATTATTAAAGTATTAAGTATTAAATATTATTTTATAATATTGTTACAATATTAATATTAAATATTATTAAATGTTAAAAGTTCATCCAAATTTTCCAGAGTACTTGCTACATTGGGGAGACAGATGATAACGTCTCTTGATATGGACTCGAATTAGCAGCTTGGTCAAGGCCACTCGTGTGAATTCAGTGCTAACCAGATAGTCTGTTCCTCTCCCACCCTGAGATGTCCCCTTTTCTCCTCTTCCTCCATCCATATTCATCATGGCTTCCAAGCTTTGCCTCAGGGCTCACTCACTTCAGGAAGCCTGTTGTAATTTTCTTATCTTTCAGTGTTTTGAAACTTAGCATACAACTTTACCCTTTACTGCGACAAGATGTGTTTCTTCCTGCCCACTCCTTCCCCCCTTAACTAGGAAGACCTGCTTAGGCTCTCAGCTGCAGTCCTAGGCTGGCGGTGCCCCTGCCCCACAGGAAGTGCAGCCAAGCCCTGCTGAGGTTGGAGTGCCCAAGGACGCCACAGGGGCCCCCAGCTCAGCTCTACCTTGTGATCAGTGCCGCCTCTTCTGTCTCTGCCTAATGGCTCATCACTGCCTGCCTGGACATGGTCACCTTTTCTACTTCATCCCCCAGTGTTTTGACTTCCTGCTTGTCATCCATGTTGTCTTGTCCTCTGGAATACAGAGATGCTCTGACTTCCGTTGGAAATCTCATCCTCTTTGGGAGCTTTTCTCCCGCAGGATAGACCAGAGGAGTGGCATGATCGTGCTCGCAGCACACTGCCCGCTGTCCCTTCTACCACCGTGTTCTTTCTGTTTTCCCCACACAGAAGGAAAAGCTCATAATAACATAAAGAGGTTGTAAATACTTTTACATCTTAAATGTTGTCATCATCACTCTGTTTTGCCATTTCTACCTTCCCAGAGGACCACTATTCTCTTTATTCTGGAGGGTGAATTCGTCAAGCTTCAGGCCTTCCTTAGCTTCTCACCTTGTTTAGATTATATGCACCGCTGAAAATGCAGAGATTGTGGGATAACTGGCTCAAAACTAGTGTCCACGCAAGTGCCCAGTAACTGCTGGTCAGTTTATGTCAGGGAGCCTCCGATGATGTGACTCGTGTCACATTAGAGCCTCTTCCTCCTAGGAAGTGTCCCTAAAGGCATTTCCTCACAGCTTTATTAAAATTCATGGCCTTTTGGCAAATGTTACTCTATAAAATATTTTTTCTTATATTATTTTTTTACGTAACTAACATATGTTCATTTGTTCTATACAAATTAGGAAAAAGGATAAGTAAATATAAATTGAAAATTATGCAAACATACCATCCAAGGGCAATCCCTCAGTACAGTTGTGTATATCTGTGTTTCTGTGGGAATCTATGTGTATATATTAAAGATACAGACTATGTATGGCATAGTACTATGCCTATTTTTATTGTATTTTTTAAACTTTTATTTATTTCATTTATTTGTTCATAATATTAATCACGTACTTAATTCTATAAGTACTTACTGAGTGGCTACGATGGTGTAGGCACTAAGTTCAGGAAACAATATTGAACACAATGGACATGAGCCCTGCCTTCCGGAGTTTACTGTCTAGAGAGGGAGACAGACACAAATAAATGAACGTGTAACTGACAATATCGTGGACGTGTTCTGCAGTAAAAGAACAAGCTGCTCTGAGGGAAGATACCTGGATTGAGGAAGGTAGGTGGCTGATTTAGATTGGTGAGTGGGAACAACCTCTCTGAGAAAATGAATTTGAATCTGAGCCCAGTGGAATACTCAGTGGGAGGGCCTGTCAGGCAGAGCGACAGGAGACCATTGTGAGTGCTTCTAATCTAAAAAGGTTATGTAGAATAGCATGGATGACGTTGGAAAGGTAGGAGGGGGATGGGTGAGAAGAGAAAAGGCCTGCAGGCCGTGCTAAGGAGTCTTTTTCTCTGTATAATAATATAACAAGAAGGTCTTTGCTCACCAATTAGATTACATTTACGTTGTCTTTTTAAATAGCCACCAAAGTTTCCACTGGATTGATATACAATCATTTAATTAAGTCATTTCCTATTGTTGGATGTTAGATTGTTTTTCAATATTCCTTTTGTAAACAGCACTGAATTCAACAGACTTGTACAAACATCACTGACCATTTGTGTAATTACTTCCTTCCTTAAGATAAACTTTTAGAAGTGGAATTGCTAACTCAAGTAGTATATTTATTTTTAAGGTTTTTGATATGTGCTCTCTGATTTACCGGGTTCTGTTGGATCAAACACCTCCCTCAGCTGCCACAGCCCCAGCAGCAGCTGCCTCTCCTCTAGCTGTTAACTTTTTACTCACTTTTGGTCTTTCGGGCCTTACATTTCTGATCTACCAATAGTCCTCTTTCTTTCTGTTCATTATTAGAGATTTCAATAGTTAAAAATCCTTTATTGTTATTTCAGTAAAATCTAAGAAGAGAGAGATGATAAACGTGTGCTCAGATTCTCTTTATGGACTGGGAATCTTATTTAAATCGAAATCTGTCTGTATGTAATTCAGGCTGTCTGGTGTGAGGTAGGGATCTAAATTTTTAGTTGTCTCACTTTACTGAGTAGCCCATCCTTTCTTCATGAATTTGAAATGCCTGTTTATCCTAAACTAAATTTTTATGTTGGAAGTCTGTTCCAATGATGTGTGTGGCTCTAATGCCCTGCTACTTTAATTATTGTGCATCTGTAACACATTTTGACTGGAGAGAGTGTTATCTTTCTCTAATCTTTCACTTCATTATGGTTCTGGGCTCTGGTAATACCTAATTAAGTGCCAGCTCTCATCGTAGAGTCCTGGAACCAATCATGCTAATTGCTTCTAATTCATTATATTCCCTAGTTGTGTCTCTTTATTTATATCATCCCCCAAACAGGCTTTATTGTCCTAAGTAAACTAGCAATTTAACCCAGATAATACACATTATCCAGTTGGCCTTTTGGTCCAATAGTTAGACCAGAACAATGTATTTGTTTCCATTGTACTGTGTTTCTGTATTTTGAAATTCAGCAAATACTTGCTGTCTATCCTATTGGTGTGATATGAGCAAGCAGCAAATTTGTGCTGTCCTCATGGGCTGCAGGCTCTGCAGTGATTTTGAGGCACCTCTCAGCACGGTCTTAGATTC